AGATCAATGAAAATAACAGTCTCTGTCCATCTGGTATATTTGAGGTCGTCTGGTTCACTACCAGTCTACTACTATCCATGTCTTTCTGCCATGTCAGGAACCACTCTCACTTCAGACTGACTCTAGAAGACCTCAAGATGTTGCTCAACAATGTTGACCAACATCTGATGTTGACTTTCAAAATAAATCACCTCCAAAGTTTAACATAGTTCATAGTAATAGTCAAAATTTGCTGACCTTGTTGCAACATGAGTTAACACGAACATGAGTGTAATTTGTCAATGATTCAATAACGAGTAATAACTTATTCAATAAAAAGTCTGTAATTTGTCAATAATAGACAATAATTCATTCAAGAATAGATTATGGGTGTTTGGTATGGCTCAGTGGCTAAAATGGGTTGGATGTTAGAGAAATTACTTAATTTTCAATTACCTGAATGTACAAATTCCTTCATTTATAGTTAAACTTTAGGAAATCAACTTTTTTTTTCCTTGTGAAAAAAATATCAAAATTAACTTTTGGTATTTATTTTGAATAGATTGGGGAAGGAAAACAGCCCAGGCCGTGTAGAACTGCTATGTTGTAAAAATGTTGTGCTTGGTGATCTAATCATGTTTTTATTACAACTTCAGGTGTTGTGAACTGGAGGAAATATTCTGAAGAGTTTCAGGCTGAGCACAGAAAGCCTTATGTCATTTCTGTCTGCTTCAGCTGTGGAGAAGAATTTAAAGGTTGTGCTGCAGGTTTCTGGGGCAGCGGCGAAAGAGGAGAGCTGAGGGCCTTCTACAGTGAAGCCATTTCTCCTGGGTACTGCACCCACTTCTGTGCCATGCATGCAGGGTTAGTACACATTACAATAAGTAACAACTAGCAACACCCTAACTGTACTATGTTCTGTGTTTCCAACAGATGCTACGATGACTTCTAAAAATGGATGTCCCAATAAACACAATAAAAAACATTCAATGATGCATCAAATGTTGTCTGAGTATGTTTTAAGGTAATAACAAATGAGAAATCTGGAAAACAAAGAGAATTCCTGAATCTGTCTTGTGTGCTTTGATGTGTACATAAGTTTATTGGAGGTCCTGAAACAACTTTTCTGAGAACACAAAGATTTTTATTTTACCTTTGGCCAAGATGTCAGTTTGAAATCAGGCTGCTTACTGCAAAACCAAGAGTTTTTTTAAGACAGACAGTCTTCATTTGTATTGTTTTGTTGACTAAGCTAAATGTAATTTCTAAAATATGGATAAATCTGTTCTCATCATGCAGCATAAGCAACTGGGTACAGGTGTGAGGGCCAAAAGTCTGGTTATGTACTGACTCTTAAATGTGCTTTTCTACTTTTATGTGGTTTTTTTTTTTTTGCTGCTCCTTTCTTTAATGTGGGCAAATCTGAAACATTGTCACATGAACAAATGAGATAAAACTGGCTCTTTAAGTAAGTTACATCAGCTCTTTTTTTAAACTGAAGGTTTTTAAGAAACAGTGTTAAATCTACTGTCAAACACAAGAAGATTCTCTTTTGTTCTTGGGATGTAGCTGCACCTGACACAGGTTGGCTTGAGTGTGGTCTGGGTACAATGAAATATGAAGCATCTGAAGCGAAACCTGCTCCCATTTGTCCAAAAAGTCTGGTCTCAATTAAAGATCATGAGTCCTATGACGAGATAATGGCCCAAAACAAAAGCTAAAAACAAAATTTGCTCTTTAGAAGTTCTTCTATGAGATCTGATCTATGAAAGGAGCTGAAACATAGAGTAGGGTTGACCTTTAAAATGTGAGACAGCTGAGGAAGTGAACCAGTAAACAGAAATACCTGCTCCAATTGTAGAAATATTACAGAAACTGACAAATCACTCATCTGTAGTGACTGATTTAAAAGGTTGAACAAGAAAATGTGAAGTTAAAGGAAACATCCTTTGTCCCAAGGCCAGTTTAAGTATTATTAATATTTTTCTTTCTTTATGAATCGATTGCAACTTTTTTCACATTTTTCAACAACCAAAATGGAATTTGTTTTTTAATGTTACGGCTAGGTATTAAAAAAACTAACATTTAGCTCTCCCCACTACCCAGATATGTTGCTCTTTTTTTTTAATGTAACTGGAAGTTCTGTGTTAAGAGAGGCGGAAAAAGAAGTTATGGAGACTCCGCTAATGTCGAACCTGAGACGCCGCTAATGTCAAAACGGTTAACACCACAGACATAATATGCCTGTGGTTAACACATCTGCCAATAACGCCTTGTTTTTCGACATAATGTGTCTGTGGTTACGGCATTTTATCGTTCAGCCTTTTTTTCTATCGTCCAATCAGATGTGGCCGGCCAGACACGCCCATTTTTCTATCGTCCAATCAGTTGCGGTCGGCCAGACACGCACATTTTTCTATTGTCCAATCAGATACAGACGGCCAGACATGCCCATTTTCCTATAGTCCAATCAGATATGACCGCCCAGATACGCCTTCCAAATTTGCCTGCAGAGATACCTACTTGTATTTTTCTGCTCTTTCAGCTTTGTTTTTAGCTTTTTCAGCTACTTTTCACTAGACTTTCGCTGCCTATTTCAGCTTTTTTTCTGCAAATTTCAGGTTTTCTTTAAGCTTTTCAGCTGTTTTAGATTTTTATTTTTGCTAAGTTTAGCTTTTTTTTTTTTTTAATTTTTTTGTGCCAGTTTCCACTGTTTGTGTTTCCTTTTAATATTTTCAACTTTCTATTCTCCTTCCAGCCCGTTTCTGCTCATTTCAGCTTCTTTTTTTAATTTAAGATTTTTTATAATCTGTTCAGCCTCTGCATATTTCAGCTCACTCTGCTACATTTCTCAATTGAGATTTTTCAATATACTTCTATGCACACGTTTATTGTCCTACTTTCAGCAAATGTTAGCTGGAATGAAACCCTTTCATCTGGTTTCAGCTTCTTCAGCAGCTTTCAGCTTCTTCAGCAGCTTTCAGCTTCTTCAGCAGCTTTCAGCTAAGTTTTTACCATCCAAAACAGTCAAGTCATATCTCACCTTCTCAGCTTCTTTATCTCATTCTCACTCACACTCACACTCACACGCGTAAACAAGTAGGATCCAGATAAGCCAGTGATGGCTGCAAGCCTCACCATGGGTTTCTGGTGGGAGGGGCCAGGAATAGCGATGCCGCTGCTGGTGTTCTCGGCCTTCTTGGTGAGCTGCACGTATACCTTCCCATGATCCTTAGACACCAGACAGTGGTAGAGGTCATCATACTTGACCTCTAGGAAGATGCCCTCTCGGTCCACATAGTCTCCCTGCTTCAAGAAGTAGACCACCTTGGAGGAGATGAGGACGTAGTAGCCATCAATGGGTTCCACTGCGATAAAACTGGTGTGGGGAAACAAATGGTAAGAGTGACTGAAACACGAGCGATCAGGTTCTGATTCATAACAGAAAAAAATCAGGAAAGACTCAACTCACAACTCAGAGTGGATATTATCAGTGAGGCGGAAGAGCTGCTCCTGGCCATCGGCCTGCATGGCTGAGTATCGAGGCAGCCTATCCTGAGGTCCTCTACAACAACGAGGCTTCCGAACACGCTGTACGCACAGTCTGAAGACACAACCACAACACAACCACATGACTGCTGCTCAGGGACTGACCAGGGCAAGTCCTGCCACCTGTCAATCAATCCAGTAGGCACGTCAGCAACAAACCAATCAGCGACCTCAATTAGTCCTGAAGTGAACGCCCCTTACCTGCAGAGCTGCAGCTTTGCAGTCATGGAGATTTTAATAATAACAGAGTTTATATCTATTTTTATGTTAATCTACTGTAATAAACCTTTGTAAAAGACACCAGAATGCAGGAAATGGCATCTAGTTTATTCAAAATTCTCTGGTGGAGAACCACAAAAATAAAAATCACATGTAGTGTATGCAAACACCTGTTTTCTGTAAATACAATTATCTCACCTGTGGTTACTAAGACTGGCCATATCACGGACTGTTTGGGCCGTCTCTGATGCAAAATCCAAAGCGCCAGCAACAGGTTTGGTTACAGTACCCACCAGACCTTTGCCTAGACCTGAGAAGAAGCCACTGACTCCACCCTCTGTTTTCACACCCTCCACTGTGGAGGTGATGATGCTCGTCATTCCCCCAATGATACCTAGAAGAAAGTTTTAGTTATGTATGGATACAGTTCAAATGCAATGTGTGACAAATCCAAAAAGCCCTGGCACAGAAAATCTTGACTGTACCGTGAGCTAGTCCATGAATTCCTGCCACCAGGTGTTCTCCACTGGTGGCTCCATGGTATCGGATGCATTCCCGCTCGCTCTGGTGCCGGTTGTCCATCGTCTTTCCCAGCCCATCGGATAAAGTGCCTGCAAACTGACACAAAGAAGCCAGAAATATTGCCTTAAAAAGCTACTGATCTGCAAAGCTACATGCTTGGCACTCCTCACTTTGAATAAAAACTCTGGAGGTAGACACACATTAACCATCCAAATGGTACACTGATGTCCCCTGTCATTGTTGCATGTGTTTTGGAGGAGTGTTTTTCAGGACTGGAATTGAACAAGGAATACAAGTAAAGCTTAAAGTTTTTTGGTGCAAGATATTCAAGTGGTAGGAGTTGCACTATAAATATATACATGGCAGAAGTCATCTTGGATTTAAAGTTGGTAACCCAATTTTTGATAGTGCCCTTTCTAACGCCTAAATACAGATCCACATGAAATTGGAAGTTAACATGTTGATTATTTTTCAAGTTCTCCAGCTCACAAGGTTTACATACAAACATATGAGTGTGCGCATATGTGTGCAATATAGCAGCAGTCATCTTGGATTTTACCATGGCAACCTGATTTTTGATAGTGACCTCTCTTACATCTAAATGTAGCCACACACTAAAATGTAAGTTGATAATCTCACTTATTTTTAAGTCATTTTCAATTACTCCTCTATGTTACGCCGCCAAGATGGTGAAGGGGCAGGGAAGCCAACCCCCGGTCATTGAACATCTTGTGGTGTCTCTGAGCAGGACACCCTTTCCCCAGTTGCTCCCCTGGCGCTTTCAATAGCTGCCCACTGCTCCAACTGGTGGTGGATGGGTTAAATGCAGAGAGCCAATTTTGCCATTGTATAGGAACATACAATGATGCCAACACATAACACATCATCATTATTATTATTATTTGTTCTGCATCAGGGAACAACTAAAAGTACTCAGCATATATCACAATAAGCAGTTAATTCAGATAGGCAACAGGTGCGTACCTTGGCAGCCGAGTTGGATACGCCATGAGTTACATTACGAATGAGGCCGCCCACACTGCCATACTTGATGAGTTCAGACACTCCCTCAGTGACATCGTTCAAGAGGCCGATGGGGTTACCCAGGAAGTCAACAGAGCCTAGGATCTGAGCTGCTTGGCTCATCAGCTCCTAAAAATGGACAACACTGCACTGTAAAACTCTTACAAGAAGCAATGGTAATGAAAAAGAGTATATACACATGGACTATAACTCTGGAACAGGACTATTAAATTCATGTAAGTCTTCTGTAATGCAATATGAACTGAGATGTGACCAACTCTTCTGAGGCAGCCACGCCAACGTGGTTCAAAACATCCAAGTTCATGCTCAATAATCCAGATAAAAATCAACAATGTTCAGTCATGTCAATCTGGACGGTTTCTTTTGAGTTGGAGTTGACGAGGGAGAGGGTAGGCTCCCGAAACCATCTTATAACCAGCAAACTGGTTTTTTCCACTATGTGAGTGTACTGCTTGTGGGACTCAGTTTATTTGTGGCTCTTCGGACTCATGGAAGTCCTTTGGATAAAGGACGAAACGTCTTAGCAAAAAAAAGAAACTGTCCATATACAGTAAACTGACTGAACATTGTTGGATTTTGACCTGGATTATTGAGCATGAACGTTGATGTTTTTCAAATTTGGTATACAAATGGATAAATGAAAAGAAAGACATGTATTTAAAAATATAAGGACTGACAAAGAAAATAAATTAACCCAAATGAATGTTCTGGCATATTTTTCTAACTAAAGACATTTAAATTTAAGTAACACGCAAGTAATTTTACAAATAAGAGATTAGATTTCAAAATCACATACAGATTAATAACAACACAACAGTTTGCAGATAAGTGAAATCAAAAAAGGAAATATCTAAGTGGGACACCAATGATTTTGAGATGGGGGGTTTTGTGAACTGGAATTTAACAGAGAATTCAAGTAAACCTTAATGTTTTCGGTTAAAAAAACTGAAGAAGCCCAAGTTTTAAAATGTCATGATCAACGTTGTCAAATGTTTTTCACAAACTGATAAAAAGAGTTATGCAACATGGTTTCTTATCAAGTGCAACCAATACATTGTTTATCACCTTCATTGCAGCTGTTGTGCTACTATGATTTTTTTCTGTAGTCTGATTGATGTGTAGTTAAAATAGCATTACAACAAAAAAAAAAAAAAACTCCTTTAGTGGTTTGTTTACAAGGCCTTCAATAATCTCTTACAGAACTGATAGATTAGATATGGATCTGTGGTTAGTTCGGCGCATTGTTTTGCACTATTAGTGTTAAGCATATTTCTTAGTTTATATCTTAGATCCTTATTACTGTTTCTTTTACTATTTATATTTTTGCCATTGTTGGATGTAACTGGGACCCCGTGTACACAATTTCGTTCCACCTCATGTACCACATGTGATGCAAATGATAATAAAACCAACTTGAACGAAAACGGTGGAAAGAAACCACCTTTCTTTCACCTGTCTGCACGATACACATTGTATCCAGTCATATTAATATCTTTATCTGCAGTAGATTTCATCAGCCAGGTACCAGAATTTACTATAGCATCTGTTGATTTAGCCCAAATCCTAACCATGTCCATCTTAGGTACCAAACTTCTAACATTAAGATGAAGAAATCTAAGACCAGATCTGTAAAGATTTAAAATCAGATGGTATCTGCAGCATACATACATACATACATGTATATGTATACATAAATATACATATACTGTATATATGGTGGTCCTTAATACTAACAGGAATTCAGATTACCTCATGGGAAATACAGATAGGGTTAATCTTTTTTTTCTAAAACAATGACATTTTTCATTTATCAATGTTACTATGTTCAGATTTTCAGACAAATACCTCATCTTTAGCTCTTTTTTCTTGCTTTAACTTTAGCTACTTATATGAGAGTTTGCTTTTAAGCAAGTCAAAAACACAAATGAGCCTCTGAACCTGTGATTTTGAGCCAAACAAAAAAGATAAATTTGTGCTGGGTTTAGTTAAGAATATTCTATTCATGATTCATTTGAACACAATTGTCCCAAATAAGCATTGCATGCTTATAAGCATCTGTGTGCATGCATGGGGCATGTGAAGTTAAAAGGATCTCTCATGTAAAAAAAAATTATTTTTATTCACTTGAAGCACCCAAATAAGGATCTCTAGCACAAAAAAGTAATGTTAATCTAATGTAAAAGGGTTTAAATTGTGAAAATGGTATTTCCAAACATGGTAAACAGCAATGTGTGCCTTCTGACCTCTCTGAAGTGCTTGAGAATGTCGATTAGGATGATCTCCTGGGTCTCATACGGGTGCACTCGGGTGAACGGATACATGTTGATGACAGCATCTTCGAAGCGAACGAGAGGAAAGCCCAGAGTACCTTTAAGAGCCTGCAGCAAAAAAATAAAATAAAATAAAATAATAAAAAGGTGGAAAACTTGACCAGTTTCAAATGTGTTGTTTTTAAATAGGATGATATAAACATTTGATTCCAACCAGTTACAGGTGCATCTATAAAAATGTAAATATTGTGAAAAAGTTCTCTCAAGGTCTCTCTTGAAAATGAGTTCTCGTGGCTCAATGAGACTACCTGGATAAATGAAGGGTAAAAAAAAAAATAGTTAAATATTTTTTGTTGGTCATTTCAGAAAGTGAAACTCGTATATTAAATAGATTCATTACACATAAAGTTAAAAATATTTCAATATTTCTTGTGATTTTGATGATTATGGGTTACAGATAATGAAAAAACTAAAGTCAGTTTCTCAGAAAATTAGAATACTGTGAAGAGGTTCAGTATTTTAACTCCTGGTGTCACAGCCTGATCAGCTGATTAACTCCTGGACATGAGCTTCAAACGTCTCTTTCCTCAAGTCCAGCCACTCCTGAACCAGAGACATCAGAAGCATCTTACCCGCAGGAGACAAGGAACTGGACTGTTGCTCAGTGGTTGCACTTATTTCTATCAACATGTTTTTTTTTTTGTCTTTCCTCCTAGAGGGACTGGCTCGCCTCCAATATGGACCTGCCATTCTGTGTCTGTTCCTTCTTCCTGTTCCTCTCAAACCCAGCCGGTCGAAGCAGATGGCCGCTCGTCCTGAGCCTGGCTCTGCTGGAGGTTTTTTCCTGTTAAAAGGGAGTTTTTCCTTTCCACTGTTGCCTTTGTGCTTGCTCAGGATGGGAGACTGTGACAAAATGAAGACTCAATGCAATCTGCTGGCTAACTTAGATAAATATCGTTACTAATTTAATTTTTATGTATGTGAATATTTCTGTTCAGTGCTTTGAGAACACTTCTGTTTTGACTTGGCGCTATAAAAATAAAATTAATTGAATTGAATTTGTCCAATGTCCTCTTTTCAGATGGAAGTAAATTTTCATGTCATTTGGAAATCAAGGAACCAGAGTCTGGAGGAAGAGTGGAGAGGAACAGAATCCATGTTTTTTTGAAGTCCAGAGTGAAGTTTCCAGTCAGTGATGGTTTGGGTCCATGTCCTCTGCTGGTGTTGGTCCACTGGGTTTTCTGAAGTCCACAGTCAACTCAGCCTCTAGCAGGACATTTTAGAGACATCATGCTTCCTTCTGCTGACGAGCTTCATGGAGATACTGATTTCATTTTCATGATTTCATTTTCCAGTAGGACTTGGCTCCTGCCCACACTGACAAAGGTACCAAGAGCTGCCTGTGGAATATTCCAATTTACTGAGTCACTGAATTTTGGTTTTTCATTCAATTCAATTCAAAAATACTTTATTAATCCCAAAGGGAAATTATTTGTTGTTGTAACTCGTTATCCTCATTTCATTAAGATATGTTATAGATGCTGATGGTTGTAGACAGGAAGGATCTCTTGTAAAGGTCCATCCCACAGTGGATCCTAAGAAACTGGCTGCAGATGTCGTCTGATCCGTCCACCCAGACTCGGCTGGCCTCTCGGTTCCCCTGAGCTGTAGGACTACCCAAATGCCGGGCAGAACTCCTCCCAGAGTAATGGTCACTCCTCCCAGCAGTCTGCTGAGCTCCTCGTTGCTGCGGACGGCCAACTGTAGGTGCCGAGGGACGATCTTGTCCTTCCGCTGTCATGAGTCATATTTCCTGTTATTTCCAGGATCTCAGTGGTCAGGCACTCGAGCACAGCTGGCAGGTAGATGAGAATGCGTCCACAGAACATCCTTTTCAACTCATTTGAGATTTGGGGCTGTAGTTGAGATATTATTTGAGCTTTTGAGATGTTAATCAGCTGCTGTTGGTTGTAGAAAACTGCCTTGTTGCCATGGTTACGCATCATAACAAATGTCCAAAATTAAAAAGTTTCAGTAAAAATCCTTCCAGCTGCACAGCATCCGATACCAGAGGAAACAACCATCCAAAAAAATGTGATTTACATCCAGAAAACCAGGAATTAAAGTTTCCAAAAGCAAAATCTCAGAATGAAAGTAACAGAGCTGCTCCAACATGCAGCCACCTTGAGCGGCACAATTAATTAATTAATTGATTATTTGTAATTATCATTATTTTATAAAAATCAAAATTACAAGAAATAAACACTTGAAATGTTTCACTCTGTGTAATGACTCCATGTAACATGAGTTTTACTTTCTGAAGTGACTGACAAAAGAAATAAAACCTTTTCATGATTTTCTTTTTTTTTTTTTTAGATGCACCTGCAAAGAGAAAATGTTTATTTGTCCAGAGGACACAGATACAGGCCCATGTTTTCTTCCTTATAAATTACATTGATCTAATTTTCATTCCTAAAAACAATCTCCACATAACCTGAGGTTCATATTCATTACAAACAAGTGTCTTGGTATTTGCCCCACCTTTTGTGCATCAACTGCACCAGCTACTAACTGTTTTTCAGTACTGTACTTAAAAAGTAAATGGGGAAAAATGCACATTTGTGCAAACCAACCCATCAAATTTAACCCCTGGAAGTCTCTTTAACTTTATGACAGTTTCTTGGGGGGCGGGGATCCGTCATCTTATTTAAATGCTTGAAAACATGTTTTTTTTTTCCCCACAAACTAGTCAATATTTCAGATTTATCTCAACCTGAAATTAAAAATATCAAATTTAAATGGCTTTTTTAAAAGTCCTTAAGAGTCTTTAGTAAAAAACAAAACAAAAACAAAAAAAAAAACCCACTACATTTCAGTGTTTTAAAAAATTAACTAAATATTTATTTTACAGTAATTTTTAAAGGCATTTTCCCCATTAGTATGCCTAAAATTATTTTAGGCTTGTTTTTATTTATTTTTTTATAAATCCAGTATATAATTTTGAGAAGACCTTCCAGCTCACTGGACCCTTCAGATCTGGTAGCTAAAAATGAGGCCTTGTTTTCAGTCAAACTTACTGTGGTCTCCTGGTGGCTGGATATGGAGGTTAGTTTTAATCAAATTTCAGAACATTTAAAAATAAATATGCGGCTAATTTTCCCCTTAAGGCCTTCCAAGTGTTAAAACTAAAGTAATCTTATACTGCTGACCTTGTATTATATTTGGACACAGATTCTTGCACAGTTGTATGAAGAGCCTGCCTCAGTCAGCCCTTCCTAATCACATGTGTAAATAATTTGAACTCATCACACAAGCCTTATATCTAGAATGCTAAAATTCCCGTTTGAGTAGAAAATGAGTACATTTATGGACAGATGTCTGTCAGAATCATCTTTGTGAAAATGCATAAAGTTTTGTTACCTTGAGGTCTGGAGGGAGCTTGTGAGAGGTAAAGACGCTGAGTTTGATCTGAGGGAGACTGATCTTCAAATTTTCAAAGTAATAGCGTTTAGAAGGGCCTGCTTCCTCGCTGGGCCTCTCGTACAAGTTCTCATCCAGTTTCTCCAGCTCTGCTTTAATTATACAATTCAGGATTTAATTAAACACTTAAGCACCCACATTCTGTTTACTCATTGTGGAACACCAATATTAACAGTAAATGTTAACTTATGACCCACCGGCCTCCACCTCTCCATAACCAAAGAAGCTGAGCAGCTTGAGCAGCAGTTTCTCCTCAATGATGACAGTAAAATGGCATGCCGTTACCATGAGATGCTGAAAATACATCACAGTTGCATCATTAGGTACATGATCCTGCTAGCATTGTTTGAACTTGATGGCAGGTAGAATGCACCAGTTTTAAGCTACTGCTGCTACGGTCACTGCCAGATGATGTGAGTTTCCGATTGAAAGTGACTGGACTGGTGTCCAAGTATTGGAATAAACATCAGTATACATTACTGTAATGTATGAATGTGTGTGTGGATGGGTAATGAGGGCACATATCGTGTTGTTTTGAGTATCTTGAGTAGATAGAAAGATGCCATTTCCTGTAAGTAAGTCCATTTTCTTATTTTCATGTTATCATGCTCATAACTTGCACAGATGGATGGATGGAGGGAGGGTATTTCCAACTCCCTCACTTCGCTCCATGATGAGACAACAATTTCTGGAGTATTGCAATCTTACATTTAAAACTTATTCTGTTATTTTAGGAGAAAGTTCAACTCAAGGTTATAATAGAAAACTTTTAAATGCTGCAGCGTAGAGTAAACAATGGTTTCTTTTAAATTCAAGTTCTATTCTAAGGATTTTGTTTGAAGTGTGATCATGAAAGGCATGAATAATCATTTTATATGGGCACTGCAGTCCTCTGTCATAATTAAATTGAACTGTGAGGCGCCTGAAGATTTCAACTCCTAGGGGCACATTGGAGCAACATTTTAAACTTCTGAATTGCGCAAACAACAAAATGTTGCTTGTCGTCATCAACGTTTTATCAATTGGACTTGTGATTTGGCATGTGGAACTGACCTTGAAAATCTCTGTAAGTGTAAGTCTGCTAGGAACCTTGACCGAGTTAACCTGCAGAGCAGGGCCACTGTCGTTTCCACAGCTCTCACCAGAACTGGGGGTTACACAGAGCATCACGGGCTGGGTGGTTCCCAGCAACTGATTGTCAACCTGAAAATCACACAGAAAACAGGTGTGTGCATCGAGTTAGAAGAGCAAACCACAGCAGTGGATACAGACAGCAGTCATGATGGCATGAGCAATGTGAAACTACTATAACCTCACAACTTGTATGGATGGAGGGATGAATGGAGGGTATTTCCAAATCCTCCTCTTTGCTCTGTGACAACGGACAATTACTTTCTCAACTAACTGCAAAGTTGTTGTGAAGTTTTTATCACATTTGGGCACAAACCAAATACTGTTTGTATTATATCATACAGAACATGTGCAAAGATATCAAACTAGAAATTCAACATTTAATGCAAAGTAATGAATTATGGTAACTGTCTTTTTAAAAGCATCAAGTCATTGTTGTTTTACCTTTACGGTAATTGCCCCACCAGTGGCAAACATTAGAACTACGCACATTGTCAGTCACTGTTAGGCAGAGACAGGGCAGAATAACTTTTTTTTTTAAATGCTGTAAAACATTAATCATTTGTCATATTTGTAAATGATTTTTATTTTTCATAACACCCATCCACCTGCTTTATCCTTTTTGGGTCATGGGAGTCACTGGTGCCCATGTCCAACAGTCACTGTGAGAGGCGGGGGACACCCTGGACAGGTCATAGGTTCATCACAGGGACACATAGAGACAAACGAGACAAACAACCATTCACTCTCTCACTCACAACTTGAAACAATTTAGAGTTACCAATCAGCCTAACATGCATGTTTTTGGTCTATGGGAGGAAACTGGAGTACCCGAAGAAAACCGATGCATGCAGAGAGAGAGCATGCAAACTCCACCCAGAAAGCCCCTAAGATGGGATTTGATTTGGTGACCTTTTCGCTGAGAGGCAACAGCTCTACCAACTGAGCCACCATGCCTGAAAAAATAAATAACTTACTGGTAATGAAAACTGGAATGCAGCCATCCAACTGATGTGAACACACCTTTATTGTGTAACTTTGCTTTTGACTGACTCAAGTCAGAGAAATGACTTTTACTGTGAGCTTGTCCATGCAGCTTACCTGAATGTTCTGGATGCACAGCTCTAGCACTTCACTGGCTGCAGTGGATGTGAAGTGAACAGTCACACCAGACAGCGTGGCAAAAATAAGCTCCTCAGGAATCTTGTTAACCAAAGACAAGCCCAGACCTTCATCCAAACTGACCAACACCTGATCAAACACAAAGGTGACATTTGATTCCACTTTGCTGATAAGTGGATTCAAACAGTAAGGTAATATAATTTGAAAATTAAATGACTAATTTGCACTTGAGGCCCACTGATCGAGGATAAAAAAGGCAAAAGGCAAATATGACGACAGACAATAAAACAGAAAAATAAATAAATCTAAACATGACAATACCTACAAGAGATAAGTAGCCCTCATTTCCAGTGAGTATAAGACAAGTCTAGAATAAATAAAAACTGTAGGACTGAGGGTGGCAACTCTAAATGTGGGGACAATGACAGACAAAGGTAGAAATCTGGTTGACATGATTCAGAGAAGGAAGGTAGATGTATGTGCCCAAGAGACCAAGTGGAAGGGCAGCAAGGCTCACAGCATTGGAGCAGAGCTTAAACTGTTTTACCATGGTGAGGATAAAAAGAGCAATGGAGTAGGGGTGGTCCTGAAGGAGGAGTTGGCAAAGAATGTAGTAGAGGTGAAAAGAGTGTCAGATAGGGTGACGTGTCCGAATGTAGAAGTAGAAGGTCTGATGCTAAACTTTGTCAGTGAGTGGTTATGCTCCACAGGTTGGATTTGACATAGAGTAGAAAAATAATTTTTGGTAGGATCTGTATGAAGTGAAAAGAGAGGATTCCCAGGGAGGACAGAGTGGTGATCGAAGCAGACCTAAATGGACATGTTGGTGAAGGAAACAGAGGGAATGAAGAAGTGATTGGTAGGTTTGGTGCCCAGGAAAGAAACTAGGAAGAATAGATGGTGGTGGATTTTGCCCAGAGAATGAAAATGGCTGTAGTCAACAATTACTTCCAAAAGAGGGAGGAACATAGAGTGACCTATAAGAGTGGAGGAAGGAGTATGTAGGTCAACTACATTCTGTGTAGAAGAGGAAACCTGAGGGAGATTGAGGACTGTAAGGATGTGGCAGGGGAAAGCATGGCCAGACAGCATCGGATGGTTGTGTGTAGAATGAGTGTTGTTGTGAAGAATAGAAAAAGTGTAAATTTCAAAAAGAAGACCAAATGATGGAAGCTGAAAAAGGAAGATCATTGTGAGGAGTTCAGAGAGGAGCAGTTAAAGGCTCTGGGTGGTAAAAAAAGAGCTTCCAAATGACTGGGCTACTATAGCAACACTAATTAGAGAGACAGGTAGGAAGGTACTTGATGTGTCATCTGAACAAAGAATGGATGATAATGAAACCAGGTGGTAGAATAGTGAAGTGCAGGAAGCTATTCAGGGAAAAAGGTTAGTCAAGAAGGAATATGACCGTGAGACTAAAGAGAGGAGATAGAAATATACAGAAATGAAACATAGAGAAAAGAGGGATGTAGCAAAGGCAAAGCAGAATGCGTATGATGAGTTGTATGGGAGGCTGGACACTAAAGAGAGCATGAAAGACTTGTATGGATTGGTGAGACAGGGGGATCAGGCTGGAAAGGATGTGCGGCAAGCTAAGCTTGTTAAATATAGGAATGGTAATGTTCTACCAAGTGAGGAAAGTGTGATGGGAAGATGGAAGGAGTACTTTGAGGAACTAATGAATGAAGAGAATGAAAGGGAGAGAAGAGTTGAGGTCATAGAAACTGTGGACCAGGAAGTGGGAAAGATTAGCGAGGATGAAGTTCAGAAAGCTCTGAAAAGAATGAAGGAAAAGGCAGAAGAACCTGATGACATACCAGTGGAAGTTTGGAAATGTCTTGGAGTGATGGCAGTGAGGTTTTTGACTCACAGTCAAGGTCAAGGTTTCTTTATTGTCATTCACAACTCGTGTGGTACATGTGGTGGAACGAAATTGTCTACACAGGGTCCCAGTTACATCCAACAAAAGTATAACTTGGAAAGAAAAACAGTAATAAAATTAAGATGTGAACCAAGAAATATGCTAAACTAAGAATACACTAAGCACTAATAGTAAAACAATACACCAAACAAAAGCAGCACAATCATGAGTATGTATGAGCAGATGAGTACGAATGAACACAGCAGCATGAGATAAATCAGCAGCATGGATAGTCAGCAGCACATATCAACAATCAAGTGGCATTACAGTGTTTTTTTCACAGTGATAATTCTGGTTAGAGATTCATGAGTCTAACAGCTCCAGGGTAGAATCTGTTCCTCAGTCTAGAGGTTCTACACTTAATGCTCTTCAACCTCCTGCCTGAGGGGAGCGGGGCAAAAAGTGAGTGTGCTGGGTGAGCGGGGTCCTTCATGATGCAGGTGGACCTCCTTCTGTATATAGAGGTGTAGATGTCTGTGATGGTGGGGAGGCTGACTCCAATGGTCTTCTGTGCAGCCTTCACTACCCTCTGCAAAGCTTTTATTTAATATTCAATGGGATATTTGAGGGTGAGAAAATACCTGAGGAATGGAGAAGTGTGCTGGTGCCCATTTTTAAGAACAAGGGTGATGTACAGAGTTGTAGCAACTAAAGGGAATTAAGTTCATGAGTCACATGATGAAGATCTGGGAGAGGGTTGTGGAAGCTAAACCGAGATGAGAGGTGACAATTTGTGAGCAGTAGTAAGCTTTCATGCCGAGAAAGAGCACAACAGATGCCATCTTTGTTTTGAGGATGCTGATGGAGAAGTAAATGGACTGTACGTATATAGCACATTTTTATCTGATCAAGAAAATCAATGCACTTTACACTGCAATCTGTGCCCTCATTTACCCATTCATACAGCACCCTACTATACATTTATAAAGATTAATCAGTGCTTTATCACATTCATACACCAATGGGACATGCATCAGAGGCAATGAGGGGTTCAGTGTCTTGCCCAGGGACACTTCAGCATGTAACTGCTGCTGGAATCAAATCACCAACTCTCGCATTGGAGGATGACTTCTCTAACCACTCAGCCAGCCACAGCCGACCACAGGAGTACAGTGGATCAGAAAGAACTTCATTGTGTCTTTGTGGATTTAGAAAAAGCATATGACAGGATGGTGAGGGAGGAGGTGTGATATTGCATGAGGAAATCTGGAGTGGAAGAGAAGTATGTTAGACTGGTACAAGACATGTATGAGGACAGCAGGACAGTGGCGAGATGTACTGTAGGAGTGATGGATAGCTTCAAGGTGGAGGTGGGAGTGCATCAAGGATCGGCTTTGAACCCCTTCTTGTTTGCTCTAGTGATGGACTGACTAACAGATGAGGTCAGGCAAAAATCCCCGTGGACTATGATGTTTGCAGATGACAGTGTGATCTGGAGTGAAAATGGGGAACAGGTGGAAGAGAACTTGGAGAGGTGGAAGTATGCACTTGAAAGAGGAATGAAAGTCAGCTGAAGTAAGAGAGTACTGTACATGTGTGTGAATGACAGGGAGACAAGTTAAACAGAGAGGCTACAAGGAGCAGAGGTCACAAAGGTGCAAGACTTCAAGTACTTGTTTTTTTTTTTTTTCCGCACTGCTGCTCATGTTCGTGCTGCTGTTCAACGTAATGTTTTTGTGCTATTGGTGCTTAGTGTGTTTTGGTTGGTGTTTTTCTTGGTTTGTCTTGGATGTTATCATTGTTTTTCTTTTACATTTTATTGTTGGATTTAACTGGGACCCTGTGTACATAATTTCGCTCCACCACATGTACCACATGTGGTGCGAACGACAATAAAAAATCTCTGACTCTTTACTGTCCAGGAAAATGGGGAATATGGGAAAGAGATGAAAAAGAGAGGCCAGGCAGCACGGAGTGGATGGAGAAAAGTTTCAGGAGTGATTTGCAAACAACAGCAAAGGTCAAAGGAAAATTTTACAAGAGATTAGTGGGATCAGCTATGTTGTATGGTCTGGAGACAGTGCACTGACAAATAGACAGGAGAAAGAAATGAAGTGGCAGAAATGAAGATGTTAAGGTTCTCCTTAGGAGTGACAAGGATGGATAAAATTAGGAATGAGATCATCAGAGGTACAGCACAAGTTGAACAACTGGGAGATAAAGTTAGAGAGGCCAAACTAAGATGGTTTGGACATGTCCAGAGGAGGGACAGTGGGTATATTGGTAGAAGGATGTTAGAAATGTAACTGCTGGGAAAAAAGGCAAAGAGGAAGGCTAAAAATGAGATAGTTGGATGCAGTTAGAAACAAGGAGGTAGATGGAGTGAGGGCAGAGGATGCAGAGGACAGAGTGAGATGGAGGAGGGTGACTCACTGTGGACAGTGAATCACCCCTGAAGAGGGAAAAGCCAAAAGAAGAAGAATTTCCAGTGAATATAAAGCATTCATCCTCTTACAACTTTTACCCAGTCATTGCTATCATAAGCAAGTCATTGTCATAAAATGGGCATTTTTGAATTAAAAAAACATTATAAAACGCTCTTCAATGACAAAGTGAAAAGTGATTTCTATAGAAAAATGCCAATTCAACGAGTAGTACTCTGATGTCCCCTGTCTCTGGGATTTGAATAGTAAAACTTTGTAGTTTTATAAATGAGTGTTTATCTAGATCTAGTAATACATACTTTTTTTTATTGTACAAACTTTGGACCACAGCTGAAATGTTCATTCATTTGCATTCCAGATAAGTTTAGGTTTGAGTACTTAAGAGTTGTACTGATAGTACTGGATGGTGAGCAGCATAGGCTGGTTGTGCTACAAGTTTTTCTAGCAGGATCAGAGAGTTTGGCAATCCAATCTAAGCTTCGTTTTTCTGTTGCCTGTTGAAAGGTGGTGGTGTGATAACTGTGACAAGTCTTAAAAGCTCTATTTAAAAAAATCTTCAATCTCCGTCACTCCTACCTCTAGCTCCTGTTTGAACTCTTTTTCTTTGACGTCCTCCTTGGTTATTTCCTGTTCTGTGCTGACTGGGCTTTGGGTTAATCGCCTTTGATTGAAGTCGCTGATCTAGAGAGGAGTAAAGGAGACAATTTAAACTGAGTAGACAAGAACAGTGATGCAATAAGAGCACCATTATAAATGGTTGCATACAGAAAGAACACGACATAGACACAGACTGACAGAACATCCACAGGAGTTTCCTGCCAATGTTAAAGGAACCACAGCGTCCTCAAGAAGTACAGCCTGCTTTGACCCTTCCTGTACAAATGGTTGGTGTGTATTGTCCATTATTGTCTGGTCCAATTTACTGTCTAGCCACAGTCCAAGATACTTGTAGGAGTCTATAGCCTCCACCATAGCCCCATTGAATAGAACTGGTCTTGACCTTGGTCTGGACTTCCCAAAGTCAATAACCAGCTCCTTTGTCTTTGAGGTGTTGAGCTGTAGACGGTAAGTGTGGCACCAGACAGCAAAGACCCTCACCAGGCTTCTATACTCCTCTCTGTCATCCTTGATGCACCCAACAATGGCTGTGTCATCTGCGAACTTCTGGATATGACACAGAGTTGTAGCAGAAGTCCGAAGTGTATAGGGTGAAGAGAAGAGGGGTCAGTAGGTGCTCCGGTACTGCTGATAACAGTGTCAGAAACGGTGTCCTTCAGTCTGGCATAATGTGCCTTGTCGGTGAGATAGCTGGAGAGCCAAGTGACTATGAAGGGGTCCACTTGCATCCTATTCAGTTTGTCCTGAAGCTTAAGGGGCTGGATAGTAAACACTGGAGAAGTCCATGAAGAGAATCCTCATTGTGCTGCTTCCTTTATCCAGATGTAAGTGTGCTCGGTGTAGCAGTTGAAAGAATGCATCCTCTCTCCACCAACACCTGCCAGGTACACTAACTGAAGATTGTCCTGGGTGTGTTGTACCTGAAGTTTGACAAGGCTAAGGAAGAACCACTCCAAAGTCTTCATCAGGTGTGAAGTGAGTGCCAGGGGTTGGAAGTCATTCAGCTCAATGGGCCGATTCTTCTTAGGAATCGGAACGATGCAAAACGTTTTCTAGAGGGTGGCCACTCTCCCTAGCTGCAGGCCAATGTTGACCAAGATTTGTTGTATTGGTTCTTCCAGTTCATCAGCACAAGTCTTCAGTGGTTGAGAACACACCTTCTCTGGGTCAGCAGCTTTCGTAGGGTGAAACTTCCTCAGCTGTTCTCCAACCTGGTTCACAGTAGTGTATGGAGGAGGCGTGTTGGCATGGGTCTGGAGGAGGAGGCGGCTGCTGTGATGTCTGATGGGAGGTTTGTTGAGGGAAGGAAGAGAGATGTCTGCATTGAAGGTGGGGTATGGTTTTGTTAAACTTGTTGAAGAAGTGGTTCAGTTTGTTTGCCTTCTTCATTGTCCTGTCTCTGGTCTTTGTGCTCTGGCCTGTGATGTTTTCACACCTTCCAGGTTCAGGTTAGGTTTATTTGTCATATGCAAAATCAACACAAGGTCAACAATGCAATGAAATGCTTAGGACGAGAAGAACCATCTCGACTCACCACCCCCCCCCCCCCCCCCCCCCCCCAAAAAAAAAAACAAAAAAACCCAACAAGAAATACAAACGCTTGCAGCAAAAATACTAACAACATACTAAAAATACTACTATAATACTAAAAAACAAGGCGCCAAAGTTGAAAAAGAAATGCATCTATAGTGTAATTCGGTTAGCAGTGAGGTTCTTTCAACATCGTGGTTCTGTTCTGTTAACGGCGTGGTCTTGTTAGCAGCTTAGCAGGTCTTGTTAGTAGGTCCGGTCAGCAGCTTGATGGTAATAAGGACCGCAGAAGCTGCCCCCACAGACCGCAATCCAGAACTGGGTCCAGCAGACAGAGAACATGCCAGGTTTCCCCGTAGAACCGAACGGGTCCATACTGTGTGTGCAGGCAGATGGAGGATCTCGCAGACCTCCCTCATATTGTTCTTCTTTAGTTTCTACTCCATCTTTCTCTTGTAGCTGTTCTTTGCTTCCTTCACAATTTCGCCTCCTCCTGGTCTGCCTTCATCGCCTCCTTGTCTCTCTTCCTGAAAGCAACCTTCTTCATGTTGAGGACAACCTTTACTTCACACGTTACTCGTGGTTTGTTATTAGGGTAAAAGCATACAGTCTTAGCAGGGGAGACCATGTCTGCTCAGAAATTGATAATTGGTGAGACAATATGCCATGCCCTCTATGTCCTCACAGTTTGGGCTGATCAGTTCATCTCAGACCGTAGTGTTGAATCAGTCTTTCAGGGCAATTTCCATTTCAGAGGACCACTTTCTGATGTAGTGAGTTCCCACCCAATTGCCGCTGGACCGGGTGGTGTACTTTGGTTGTAGGTGGACCAGGTTGTGATCATTCTTTCCTAGAGGGGGGAGGGGTGTGACTCTGTATGCATCTCTCACATTAACATAAAGCAAGTCCATTGTCATTTCTTGTAGGACAGTTCACAACCTGGTGAAAAGCAGCTCAAGTAGAGTCCAAAGTTGCATGATTAAAGTCCCCAGAAATGACCATACATGCCTCAGGGTGCTGTGTCTGCCGTCTTGCTGTGAGAGTGGATCTTCTCACATGCAGTGGCTGTGTCACCTCTTGGAGGGATGTAAACACAGATGGCAATCACGTGACTAAATTCTCTCGGCAGATAATATTGCAGCAGACCAACAGCTAGCGGTTTGAGGTCTCAACGGCACAAGACTGTTTTTACCGAGATATATCCTGGATTACAACAACAGTTGTTAATGTACATGATGAGTTCCCCACTATTGTTTGTCCCACATGCTTTAGTGTCTGCTGACTCTCACAGCAGTGAATCCCTGCAGGTCCACATTAGCATCCCGTACAAGGTGGTTTAGCCATGTCTCCGTAAAAATAAACAAGCTGCTTTCAATGTAAATCCGTTGGTTGTTTAGTGTAGACAGTTCGTAGATCTTGTCTTGGCAACGAGTTCACATTCACCATGATTATAGAGGGAACTGACGGTCTGTAGCGCCTTCGGTTGTCCTCTTGCTTCACCTTTTGTTTAGCCTTTGGATATGATCACATCGGAGATTAATTAGTAGAATAAGCTTGAATAGAGCTAATCACCCAGTTACAGTCTGGAGCTCCACCCTCCTTGGATATGAGGCAAAACATCTTCAACTCCAGAAAATAAGTCCAGTTGTTTTTTTCTTTGTATTTGTCATGTACTGAAAAATGATAATCTAGAGCAGCATATTTATTATTGCTTTTGTTTTTGTTACATTTCCCATTTAAAATACACCTGTTCTGGTGCTGTTGTCTTAGTCTGTGCCACTTTTGAGAATTAGCTATAGCTATAAAACACACATTTTATCAGATTTTGTTCTTACTTGAAGAACACGAGTGGGTCCGTCTGGGAGCACTTGGATTGACAGAACTCCAGATCCAGGTCTCATCTTCTGGTTGATGAACTGTTGCTCAGGGCTGGGCTTCAACAGACCTGAATCTGGCCCCAGCACCACCTCCACTCCATCACTCAGGCCAGCAACGCCTCCTTTCACCTGAGGGGTACAGGTTGTTCACTAAACTTACAGTTGAAACAGCACTTAAGTTAAGGCAAGTCAAATTTATTAAGGTACATTAAAAAAAAACAACAGGTGTTGACTAAAGTGCTGCACAAATTAAAAACTGTAGAACCAAAACACATGTACAGTAAACATTAAATTAAGACAAAAAATCTGTGTCTTTCTGTTTATCTATTGTGCTGACGATGCACATTATTTTTAGTTTAAAAAATATAAAAGCTTTTGAATGAACTGTTGATTTCCTGCGTTCGTGTGCAAGTTGTTGATTATTAAAAAACTGTAACCGCAATATTCATATCAATCAATTACAAAAACAAAGAAATAGAAAGATGACATATGCATGTTTCCATGTGTAAAATTGTATTATGAAGATTTGTCTCAAAAGTAGTCACAAGGATACAAGATCAGTATACTTACAATAAGGTCAACAAACAAGATTCACAAACGCATAAACAGTTTTTTAAATGTACAAATTTCAAATGGCGCCAGTAGAAATATTCTGCATAGGTCATAGAAACTAAAGACCAGGAAATGGGAAAGATTAGTAAGGGTAAAGTTTGGAAAGCTTTGAAAAGAATGAAGAAGGGGAAGGGAGTAGGACCTGATGAAATACCAGTGGAGGTTTGGAAATGTCTTTGAGAGATGGTAGTAAGGTTTCTGACTCAAATATCCATCCATCCCTGATGTTTTACCCGTTTCTTCTTTTATGGGTCATGGGGGTCACTGGAGCCCATATCCAGTAGTCACTGTGCCAGAGGCAGGGGACACCCTGAACAAATCCAACACAGAGCCACATAGAGACAAATGAAACAAACAACCATTCACACTCACTCACACCTAGGGACAATTTAGAGTTACCCATCAGCCCAACATGCATGAATTTGGTCTAAGGGAGGAAATCGGAGTACCCGGAAAAACCCACACATGCACAGAGAGAACATGCAAACTCCCACCAAAAAGGCCCAGGATTGAAATCGGCGACCTTCTCGCTGAGTGACAACAGCTCTACCAACTAAGCCACCAAGCTGCCTGACTCAAATATGCAATGGCACATTTGAGGGGGAGAAAATACCTTAGGAATGGAGAACAAGTTTGCTGGTGCCCATTTTTAAGAACAAAGGTAATGCACAGATTTGTAACAACTACAAGGAATTAAGTTGATGAATCACATGATGAAGATCTGGGAGAAAGTTGTGTAAACTAGACATGGACGAGAGGTGACAAGATGTGAGCAGCAATATGGTTTCTGGTTTCATACCATGAAAGAGCACCACAGATGCCATCTTTTCTTTGAGGATACTGATGGAGAAGTATAGAGAATGTCAGAAAGAAGTCCATTGTGTCTGTTGTGTGGATTTAGAAAAAGCATATGACAGGGTGCCGAGGGAGGAGGTGTGGTATTGCATGAGGAAATTTGGAATGGCAGAGAAGCATGTTAGACTTGTACTGGACATGTATGAGGAAGCAGGACAGTGGCGAGATGCACTGTATGAGTGACAGATAGATTCAAGGTGGAGGTGGGATTGCATCAAGGATCGGCTTTGAGCACCTTCTTGTTTGCTCTGGTGATGGACTGACTAACAAATTAATTCAACCTTTATTTATACAGGTTAGTCTCATTGAGCCTCAGGGATTCATTTACAAGAGAGACCTGTTTTTGAAGTCGGATGAGGTCAGGCAGGAATCCCCCTGGACTGTGATGTTTGCAGATGACATTGTGATCTGTGGTGAGAACAGGAAACAGAAGAAAACTTGGAAAGGTGGAGGTATGTATTTGAAAGAAGAGGAATGATAGTCAGCTGTAGTAAGACAGTACATGTGGGTGAATGAGACGGAGGCCGGTGGAACAGTGAGGATACAAGGAGCAGAGGTCACAAACATGCTGGACTTCCCTGGACCCTTCCCTGAAACTTAACAATCATGTAAACATGATTGTTAAATCATGTTTCTTCCAACTGAAGCGGCTGTCCAAACTGAAGCCCATATTGTCCAAAAATAACCTGGAGACAGTAATACATGCATTCATTACATCTAGGCTTGATTACTGCAGTTTGCTCCTGTTTGGTATCAGTCAGACCTCCATTGCACGACTACAACTGGTCCAGAATGCAGCAGCCTGATTTTTAACCAGTACAGGCAAAAGGTGACGGGGCCTTCTCTGTAGCAGGACCAAGACTTTGGAACGGGTTACCTCTGCTTGTCAGACAGGCCCCCTCCCTCTCAGTTTTCAAGTCCTGTTTAAAAACTCACTACTATTCGGTGGCTTTCAACACCAGATGATCTGTGTTTTGAACCTGTATGCTCCACACTGGTTTGTCATCATTATCTGCATCGTTTTTATGTCTATATTCTGATTTACTTCATTTTGTATTTTGCTTTGTGCGTTACCTGTTGTTCTGTCTGTACAGCACTTTGGTTGGCCACTTGTTTTAAGTGCTCTATAAATAAAATGGTATGGTATGGACTTCTAATACTTGGGGTCTACTGTCCAGGAAAATGAGCTGTGTTGAAAAAGTAGTGAAAAAGAGAGACCAGGCAGGATGGAGTGGATGGACAAAGGTTTCAGGAGTGATTTGCAACAAAGCGGTGGCAGCAAAGGTTAAAGGAAACATTTACAAGACAGTTATGAGCTCAAATATGCTGTATGGTCTGAAGACAGAGGCACTGACAAAAAGACAGGAGAAAGAACTGGAAGTGGCAGAAATGAAGACGTAGAGTTTTTCCTTAAGAGTGACAAGGCTGGATATGATAAGAAATTAGATAATCAGAGGCACAGGTTGAACAACTGGGAGATAAAGTTAGAGAGGCCAAACTGAGATGGTTTGGACATGTCCAGGAGGGACAGTGGGTATATTTGTAGAAAGATGTTATAAATTCAGCTGCCAGGAAAAAGACAAAGAGGAGTTGTATGGATGCAGTTAGAGAGGACATGGAGGTAGATGGAGTGAGGATAGAGGATGAGAAAACTGTAGGAGGGATGAGGATGACTTTTGGATGACATTTTTGAATCCAGTAATGTCAATGTAAGCATAAGTGTTTTAATGTAGGGGTTTTGAGCTCCTCTGCCAAGTTAGAAACAAGTCTTTTCCCAATAACCCAGTAAATGTGGTAAGGCTCAGCTTTCACCAGCCTTGAATGTAGCATTACCTTTGTGAATCTGGAGTGGTAAAAAATAGTCTCAAAAGTCACATTCACAGACAAGCTGATCTGTGCACTGTAGGTGATTTGTAAACATGTATTTTGACTATTTTTATGTGCAGAATTTTCCTACTTGGGTAATTTGAAATGTGTACATTTGAAAATTTGTTTATGTACTGCATTTGTGAATTGTGTAGTACACGTTTGTAAAACTTATGATATGCATATACATTTTATTTTATTATTTTAGATTGTGCTGCTGTTTGGGAGTTGCCACACTCACAAACACACACAAATCTTGTTGTACTTAGAGAATGACAATAAAAAACACTTTATCTTGAACTCTTTATCAAAACTTTTTTGCTTTCATGACAACTTTGGAGACTAATTTATCTTCACAGTTAATGACCATTAAGTAAAGCTCTGCGTAAAATGCTATAATGGAAGTCCTTTGTGCAACCTCATGACATACTGAGACCTTGTAAAATGTGTTAATGCTTATAGATGTATTGAGAATGACCCATCACACCAAACTTTAGCTTAATATTTGTAAAATGACCAGAGTTATACCCATCATTGCATTTCCTCAGGTACAGTAAGTTGGCTATAAGAAGTATCTTGAATTGGCTTGACTCTAAGGTAATCAGTCACAGGTGTAAAATCAATTATTACTTTCTTATCCAAGTGTCGCTTATGAGTGTAGCTACCTGCACTACCAGCCGAGGAAGGCCACAAGTCAGCATGCCTGAACTGAAGTACCACGTCTGGGTAGTACTGCGCCGAGAGTCTGGTCTCCGAAGCATCAATGGCTCAAAACTGAGAAACACCAACATGTAGTCAGAGAAAACCCACTTGTTGCTCACAGTCTACACTCCAGGTTCCTGCATGGTTTAGGAAGTTGTGTAAAATGTATATAAAAACAGAAACTACTGATTTGCAAAATTTCAACCAAAAATTTATTCACATGGTGGGGGAGATGCTGGACAGATCTAATAAACTCAAATGTGTAGTGAGGGGTTGCTGAGAATGTCTGACAGAAGAACCCACTGGAAGTATCTTCAACTCCCACCTTTGATAGAACTTCAACAGCATCCCAGCTGAGCAGGGGCACACTGTATCCAAGTGCGCCATGTTCATTGCTGACGTGGCTGCCTTTAGCTTTGACCGCAAGGTTGTTGATGCTTCTCGCTGTGGGCATCCTCATGGAACCCTCTGTGAGGGAGGCAATCAAGCTAATGAAGAAATTCTCTTGGCTTTGTTGGCTGATAGGACTCCAGGAGCAGTTGAAGAGTATCAACGAGCTGCAGCCATGACTGTTGCTGGGGTAAAAGCATGGTATGTGGGAGGAGTTCAGTGAGGCCATGAATAGAGATGAAAGCAATACTTCTTGGACATTCCCAATCCCACCAACACGTCTTCCATGGAGGAAGTTGAGTCAGGGGACTTTGAGGTTGGTCCGTCCATACCTGGGGCTGAGGTCACAGAGGTGGTTAAAAAGCTCGATGGTGGCAGGGCTCCTAGAGTGAAGAAGATCCACCCCGAGTTCCTTGAGGCTCTGGATGTTGCAGGATTGTTTTGGTTGACACACCTTTGCAACGTCACGTGAACATCGAGAGAAGTGCAAATGAATTGGCAGGTGATTCCCCTCTTCAAAAAGGAGGACCAGAAGATGTGTTCCAATTATAAGGACATCAGTCTCCTTAGCTCCTTAAGTCCCTGATAAGGTCTATTCAGGGGTACTGGAGAAGAGTCCTATTGATGGTCAAACCTTGGATTCAGGAAGAACAATGCAGGTTGTGTCCTGGCCGTGAAGCATTCAACCAGCTCTTTATTCTCACTAGGGTCTCCACAGTGCTGCCCATTGTCATCATTTGTGTTTTGAACTTTTGTGGCCAGAATTTCTCAGTGCAGCCAGGGGACAGAGGGAGTCTGGTTCCGGGGCCTCAGAATTCTGTCTCGGCTATTTGCAGATGATGTGGTCCTGTTGACGCCATCGTACTGTGATCTTTAGCTCTTAATGGAGTGGATTGCAGCAGTGTAAAGATGCCAAAATGGGTTTCAGCACCTCCAAATCTGAGGTCATGGTCCTCAGACAGAAAAGAGTGGATTGTCATCTCTGGGTTGGGGATGAGGTGTTACCTCAAATGCAGGAGTTTAAGTATCAAGAGGTTTCATTCATGAGTGGCACAGAGTATGACTGGTTAACTCTGTGTAGCGACCAAAAGAATGAGATTGCGGATACAAGTTATCAAAATGAGTTTCCCCTACAGGTTAGCTGGACTCTCCTGTAGAGATAGGGTGAGAAGTTCAGTTATCCAGGAGAGACTCAGAGTAGAGTCAGTGCTCCTTCATTTCCAGAGGAGCCAGTTGAGGTGGTTCAAACATCTGATAAGGATACCACCTGGACGTTTCCCTAGGGAGGAGTTCTGCCATGTTTAATGGTGAGGAGATCCTGGGAAAGCTCCAGGGCCTTAGAAAGTGTTTAAAGAGGTAGCTATGGAAAGAGATGTCTGGACTGCACTGCTTAAGCTGCTGCCGCAGAGACTCGACTCTGGACCAAGTGGAAGAGATCGGCTGGATGGAAGGTACAATTTCTTAATTTAAATGTTTGATAAGTTGTGAATAAAAATTGGATTAATGTGGTCTGTTCTTATTTCCATTTTACACAACACACCAACTTTAAAAAATTTTTTTTGTTTTTTTTTTAAATAGAATTCTGCGTTCTTTAAATCTATAGTAAAATGTTTGTAAATTACTGTCACATCTGTTGCAATGAGTTTAAAATTGTGGCACAGAACAAACCTGTTGTCACTGACAGCTGCTAGCCCAGCAATATCTAGTACCAAGGAAGAGTCCAGAGGCCGTGGCTGCGATGGCTTACTCTGGGGTGGAGATGAGCCTTCATGACAAAGTAGACCAGACCCCGTCATCCTCCACAGCTGAGAGCGCTTGCCTGGCTCCTGTGCAGAAGAAAGAATTCTGTTATAACACAGTCATCAAGAAGAACTCTCCCATCAGCTGAATCAGGGGTTTTAATCACTTTTAATCCTTGATTGCATTCATTTGTTGGACATCAAACAAATCTTGACAATCACTCGTTAGTTTTTGCATCCTAACTTTCTGAATGTTTCTAAATCAATCTCACAAGTGAGATTTATTTTTCCTCCATACGTTTTTCAGCATATAACTCGTTCTTCAATTTTTGTTCCATTTCACCAACTCGTATCAAAACGTTTAGCTTGTTCAGGATACTCATGATCTGATTTTTGGTATCTGTGCAATTATTATTATTTCTTTATATTGAGCTTTTTCTGACATGTTTTTCCTCATAGCTTTCTCCATGCCCTTCAGCTTTTTTCAATTTCTTCCTATTTTCAGCATTTGTTGTTTTTTCAACTTATTTTTGCCAAATTTAGTTTTTTTTCTTCTACCCTTTTAGTGACATCTTGGGCATTTTTTCTGTAAATTTTAGCCTTTGTTACTATTCCCCCCCCCCCCCCCCCCATTTTCTGCTTTCTGTGCTTCTTTCCAATAGCTTATTTCAGTCTCTTTCTGGTAATTTTAGCTTTATTCAGCGTTCCATTTCCTTCAGCCAATTTAAGCTTTTTATGTTCCTTTTAGCTTCTTTCTGCTAAATTCAGCTACTATTTAGTTGTTGTTTTTTTTGATAACCGTAGCCTTTTTTTTTTTTTGTTAATGTTGGCTTTGTGTGGTTCTTCCTAATATTTTCAACATTTTATGCTCCTTTCAACCTCTTTTTTCTCATTTCAGTGTTTTGCCATTTCAGACTCTTTTTTTGTTGTTGTTGCTGCTAATCTCAGCTTTCTTCTCTCTATTGCAGTTTCTTTTAACTAATTTCAGCTTTTTTTCTTATCTATTTAGCTTTATCTTTGTCCATTGCAGCTTACTGGACTAAATGTCAGATACATTTATGCTCTATTTAACATTTTCTACACCTTATAGCCATTTTTCAGCTGCTTTCAGCTTTTATTTTCCTGCTTTCAGCAAATGTCAGCTGTTCAAATTCATCTCACAATAATGGATAAGCCATGAAACTTTTTCAGCTGGTTTCAGCCTCTTAAGTAGCTTTCAGCTAAAATCATTTAGCACTAAACATTTACACTGCAATTTCACAGTAAACTACGGTACATTTCTTTGGTCAAAAGTTGTTTTCATCACCTTTTTTCGAAGGATGACTCTTTGAGTTTTAGGGTCCACATCAAGAACTAGCTCAGCATAGCTAACCAGGTTTGGTCTCCCAACAGGTCTCCCCTCATTTTTTCTGCACATATATGATAGGCAATTAACTGTGTGACCAACTTTTCAAAATGAAATCAAAGCAGTGTATCAGTCTGTTCCTTAGAGTTAGAAATTGATTTTTACTGTAAAAAGGTGTGCGTGGCCGCGATGTAGATGAAGTTCTCATAGTAGAGTTTGTTGTACTCCCTGAAGAAATTCATGTCGGCTGTGACCTCAGAGGATCCTGCTCCCTTTACAGTGACTGTGAGGTATGGAGGTAGTGTAGGCTCATCACAGGCGTAGTCTAGCACTGACATGGACTTCACCTCAGTGTGAAGCCGGATGTCAGCCACACCGTGTTGCCAGAACTGGATGGGTACCTAAAAGAATTAAAACAATTACATTGATTTGATCAATTCTAGTCTGACTATTCTCATTTAGCATGATCAAAAAATGTTTTATTCTGTTTTCTACATCTTTTAGAGCTTCACCTCAGAGATGTTATCAATGCGAAGTGGTGGAGGCAGCTGGTCAGTGTCGGTTAAAGAGATCTGGTAAGTGGCTCCCTTCAGGGTGATCTCGGTCCTCAGGAAGAAACAGTTGCCCAATGTGTCCCTGAACAAGAATGCAATGCCATGCTTCATTACAGAACAAAATACAGGCTTTAGGAAAAAAAAATACACATTTAAAGTAAATTTATCTAGCAATATTGCAGAAAAATTTCCACATTAACAAGGTGAAGGGGTTTGGTTACCCCTGTGATCATGAGGGTCTATTATCTGGGGTGCTTGTCCCTGGTAGAGTCTTCAGTGGCAAGCGCCAGCATAGAGCCATTCAAAGACTTTGATTATTTATTTTTAAAGGCCATATGCAACAGACAACCTTGCCTGGATTAGAGAAACTGGGGCACAGTCTTGAAGTATATCCTGAGAGGGGAACTTACTGGTGAGCACCTGTTGATCAAGTCTTGGTCCCCTTAATCAACTAATCAACCAACCAGTCAACTAACCAATTAACCAACTAAACAACCAACCAAAACCTAATACACACATTTGTTGGAATCACCTCATATTAATGTGGAAAGATTTAGGTTTGTTGACCTCGAAACCTCCTGACCAGGTACAATTAGGGGTGTCCATGAGACGCACACAGAGCAACTGGTCATAGTCATTGCGGGGCCAGTGGAAGACAACATTGGATCCTGGCAAGGTGGAAATGTACCCCTCTGGGTTGAACGTACCCTGCAATACAAGAAGATAAAAATTATAGAAAAACATTTATCATCTAATCATTTATCATCATTTACCATGGGGGCAGCTGTGGATGAGTAGTTAAAGCAGTCATCCTCCAATACAAGAGTGGGGGGCTCGATTCCACCAGCAGTCACATGCTGAAGTGTCCCTGGGCAAGACACTGAACCCCTCATTGTGTTGATGTGTGTCCCATCGGTGTATGAACGTGATCTAAAGCACTGATAGTCTCTTTAGAATTATTTGTTCTATTAGTTTTGTAGAGATCTAGTAGAGTAATGAATGGGTAAATGAGGGCACACATTCTGTTGTAAAGCACTTAGAGTATCTTGATTAGATGGGTTTTATGTAAGCACAGCCCATTTACCATCTATTTATTGACATTACAGCACTCTAGTTTCTGTATCCTAGTACTGTTATTTTACAAGTGGTACTAAATACTAATTGTTTGAAGTTTTGTGGACGAGTGTTTTTCTGGGCTGGAATTGAACAGGGGATGCAAGTAAATATTTTTGGTGCAAGATATTCAAATGGGTAAAGTTACACTGTGTAGAACAGAGGTATGTGTTTTTTGTTTGTCTAAGAAAGTGCAGAGTGACAAATCTTGGTGAGTGGCATCTAGGCCTGTTACAATAATAAATTTTGCTAGGCAATTAATTGTCTCAGAAATTATTGCGATAAATGATAATATTGTTTGAAATTTGACATTTGTAATTATTGTCACATTTAAGAAGAAATGTAGGTTAATTTCTGTGTAGTACCTTATTTGACCACAGCATAGCAGTATAAGACTGAACCGAAGGATTCATGATAGTGAGGGAGCGAGCAGCGTAGCGTGTCCCTTTAAGAAAAATGGGAGGGAGGCCCCTTGACTGACATGGGCTGTCTCTCGTTCTTGTTTTTCAGTTTTCAAAATGGTGGACGCACGGTTTGTTTTGAGCTCTTTAGCATTTTTCACTCAAAGCTTTTAATAAAAAAAAATATCAGTAAACAGGTTCTCAGCTTCTTTTTGCAGAGAAAAACAACTTTTTAGACGAAGGCACGGGTTTCAACCATGAATTCTGGAGCTTCGACAAGACTGAGTTTTTTCCCCGAAGTCAGCCTGCTAGCTTAGCTTCTCAGCGTAGCTGCTTTTAACGATCCAAAAATGCAATACTGTACGGTTAAAACGGATTTTAAGAAGAAAAGAGAAAAGGAGGGGTCAGTGAAGAGCACCGGAGTTGAGCTTTTTGTCATCCAGTGTCCAGTAGAAAGAGAGAGACACGAAGAAACGATACAGCCGATAAATGAAATTGAGGTAGATAATTTTCATTTATCATGCGACTGATTTATTGTTTATCGCGACAGGCTTAGTGGCATCTTGTTTTTTTTTTCCAAGTTACCCAGCTCGCAAGGTTTACATAAATACACATATGGCAGCAACCACCTTAGATTTTGCCATAAAACCAAGTGGGGCGTTACATTCTCTAACTTTTGAAAGGAACTTTTCTAATACCTTGATGCAGTTATACACCAAAATGTAAGTCGGTATTGTCAAAACGTGTTTGCTTATTCCAAGAGGAAAAAATCTAACAAAGAAGTCCTAGCCACTTCTTAAGTAGATTGATTTGACAATGAAAATTTTTAAATACATGTATACGTGGATCTCCTTCTGTTCAGGGGGCTGCAGTCCACATGTGGGTTATTCACCATGAGCTGCTGCTGGCACCCACCCAGAAACGATGCCAAACTCATCATTTATACAGAGTTATACTGAGAATGTGCAACTTTCTGATCGGTTCATACATTTTGGGAGGTCCTGTGGTTGTAAACTTAGACCTCCCTTATTAGCTTTTCAGGCTGGATACTCCTGGAGACACCATTCGATCCAACCCAACCATGACAGCACCCTCTTGAAGATACCCACGACCACATATTTCTGCCAGATGATTACCTTATATGGTAAGAGGAAACTGTTTTACAGCTTGCACGTGAGTTTCCCTGTTTATTAGCTTATCTTGTGACTACCACCTCGAATCAGCTGTGGTTATCAAAACTAGGTCAGTGAGGCAGCTTTAGTGTATCGATCAGCAAAAAGCAACCATCCTCTGTCTGACACATCTGGGATGGAATGTTCAAAGAACACTAAGACTCTACATTAAGACTTTATTGTTACTGCCAACAGAATACAATGTCATCAAAGCATTTTAATAGCCTAACAGTACCTCTCTTACTTTTCTAGTTATGCTCACAACATGCACAGACAAACAAAGATGGAAAGTATCTCCAATTTCACTGTTTTGCTCTGTGAGGGGTGATACAAACTGATTTCGAAGCACAGAAGTCACTGTAAAATCAATCTAACAATATACTCCAAACCATTAAAATGACAATCAGAGCTGTATCTTACCTTTCCTCGTGCAAACTCTCTCTGAGCAAAGGCCAATTTATGTGTGGAGCGGTTGTCCAGTAAGTAGCGAGGGGCAAACGTCACTATGTGAGTATCTCTGTAGTTTCCTTTTCCTTTACGCACGCTGATACCTGAGGTGATGAAATCAGAAATTATTGTGATGCTTTTCTTCTCGGTCATGTTTATCACATGCTACGCAAGGCTGTAGAAGATTATCATTAATGATTAAAAATAACTAGTTTAATAAGAACCTATTTCAGTTAAAAACACCTAAATGAAACATGGGCCAACGTCTTTCAAGTGGCTTGGACCGTGACGGTCCCTTCTTGAAGTTCCAGTTCATACATTGGTTTCATCATTCAGTGAAGTTTGGTCGGGCGTGATCACAGTAAATATGAAAACATTCAGTGTGATCATATTTACTGTGATCATGATTAAGGATTACTGCTCTTCAATTCTCTGATCAATGTGCCCACCTTTTAGAAACATCCTAATGACATTTAAACTTTATATTTGATGGTTTCTTGTAAATTGTGTCAATGCTGATGTTCACCTTGCAAGCACCAACTGTGATCAAATGTGCTACAGGACTGATGGCTTTAACTGTATTGTAGTTACTTGGTCCACCACTAGCATAATAACAAACACACTGTTATTGAATGCTGATGATATTAAATGTTTGCTTTGACAGTGTACAATCCTGAACGAACTGAGTAACAAATCTGTGTGTGATACATTCAGTCTGTTCTTGGGGTCAGTCTAATTGTAAATTCAGTTGCTCTGATGAGCGTACCTATGTTGTAGAGTAGGCCAGGTCTATTTCCATGCTGGATCACTTTTACTGCTCTGACTCCACTCCCTCCATCCAGGGAAAAGCCTTGACACCAGCCTGGAACTCCGTCTGGGTGAATGCCTTTTCCGATACGCATTGTGCACCTAGAAGCAAAACGTGAGTAAAAGGTTGAACAGACAAAAAAATACTACTTATTTCAGTTTATTGATACAGTGCAAATTCATTTTCTTGCTTTTTTTTTGTTTGTCTGAGGCAGCACAGTGACAGATCCTGGAGAGTGGAGGGAGAAATTTTATCCACCACTGGTGGAGCTACAGGGTGGTCAGTGGTGGCCTTGACCCCCATAGATTAATCTTTGGCCACCCCAACGGGGGTATTTCCAATTCCCCCTCTTGACATAGACAAATATTTTACTGCTTAAACGGAAAACAATATTTCAATAAAGCCTGACCACACACTTACATTGCAGGTTGCTCTTTGTCAGTGTAAGAGAACAGCAACGGACTGAGACTTCGGGCTAATTCGTGTTCCTCAAACTGTCCTGCAGCATCAACCTTGCCATTGTCCTGACGGAAAATTAATGGCAGACCTGAGGAGTAAATTAGCTTTACATCTTAAAGTTTTCAACAAACTGGACATTTCTGTCAAAATAAATGTAACAGGATTTATAATTAAATTTTTTTTTAAAACATTACCCGTCTTGTTGATGACCCAGTATGGGGCAGAAATTAGGATTTTCAGAGCCCCTTGTGCCCGTAGGATGATGCGGATGGTGAGACAGAGGAGGCGTTTGTTGGTGTCATACAGCCTCATGCGCACCACGTAGTTCTGAGTCCCAGGAGGAATCAGCAGCTCTTTGCACACAGGAAAGTTCTCCAACAGGACCCCTAAAATCACACCAGGATCACCGTGAGGAAAGTGCAAGTGCCTTATCTACTTTCCTTTGTTCAAAGTTAGACAAATGATACCGTTTTACTAATCTTTACATTTTCTACAAAGTATCAGTGGAAAAGATACAGTTTCTTACTACTCCTCTATTTATGAAGTACTTTGAAAAAACAGCTACTGCTGCAATAAAGGGCTGCACATGTAAAATAAAGGAACATTTGAAATGTATAACACAAACAAACAAACAACAACAAAAACAACTTTAAAGTTTCAAAATATGGTAAATAAATCAGATGTAACATAAAAAAGCATTATTCTAATGTCCCGTCTCTGAGAGATTTGAATAGTGAATGTTTGTAGTTTTTGTGTGTTTGTCTGAACTAGAATTGAACAGGAAATGCAAAAAACAATTATTATTATTATTTTTGGTAAGATATTCAAGTGGGTACAAGTTGCACTGTGTATAAGTTGTTGTTTCTTTGTTTTTTTTGTATGAGTCCAGGCAGAGAGACAGATCCTGGAGAGTGCAATTTTATCCACCACAAGGTGCAATGGAGGAGCCTTGACCTCTATAGATTAATCTTTGTCCATCCCAAGGGCCACCCTAATTATTTTTAGGAAACTATACTGTAAAGCAATATAAATTCAATTCTGTTCAATTCAATTCAGTTTATTTATATACCGGTAGTGCCAGGTCACAAGTCGTCATCTCAGGACATAATATATTATAAAAGCCAATTAGTAAAAGTTCTGTATCTAAGGAAGCAAATGATTGCATTGGATCTTCACTTTGTCGCAGTCTCGCATCCTGAGCAAGCACAAAGGCAACAGTGGAAAGGAACAACTCCCTTTTAAAAGGAAGAAACCTCCAGCAGAACCAGGCTCAGGACGAGCGGCCATCTGCTTCAACCGCCAAGTTGCTACCACTTGCTACCACTAAGTAAAAATTAAACTAAAACCCCTGAAGGGTTAGAGATGCAGTAGGACTTGTTTACGGAAGAAAAACTAAAATAATGATTAAAACATATGAATGAAACAATAAGAACAAACAGAAACATTTGAATGGGGTCCATGCCCTGCTGGAAGCATGAGAACTCCCTTGCCACTGCAGGCTTGAACCCCTACTGAAAGAGACCAAGTGGTGAGTGGTCCTGACCCAGCTCCATGTTCTGCGAGGTGTCAGCAGAGTGAAGCACCGCCTCTTTTCCCGGTTTCAATGAGCCTTTGATGGTTGTGCCCCTGATGTAGTAGTTAAGGTCACATGGCAGCACGTTTACGAGAACCATGGTGGGCAGCAGATAAATAATGTGGCCTGGTTGTCGATAAATCTGCTGAGTGCTGCCAGAAACTTGCTTCTTAGCAGGTTGCTGCGCTGGGTAGATCTCCTTTTTAATGACCACGCAGAACCTGCAGCATGAAGACACATGATGGGAATAGTTCAAGATGTGGGGAGGCCAAGAAGCAAAACGTAAAAAAAAAAATTTCTACCTGAAGTTACGTTTGAGACTGTCATCAAAGTCTGCAAACTGACACTCCCTCCTACTGCTGCTGATCTCTCCGGGGCGCTCCACGCTGGTCCAGTGAATGGGAACCTTGCAGAAGAACAAGCCCATATCTTTAGGCCGAGCCTGCATCCTCCAGGATGTTAAGTGAAGGGGGATGGCCAAGGACTGGCCAGGCGGAATAGGGGGCAACACCACTGGTTCTGTCAAAGCAGAAGGAAAACCAGCATCACATGATGATGTCGTAAAGACACAAACAAAACATGAAAGGGAATGGGAGAAGACATGGAAAAACAGATAATATACTTCCTCTATTATAGAATGCAAGAAAATTAAATGAAGCAGCGTCTTACTGTCAGGTGCAGAGGGGCTGTCAAGTCTGACCTCCATCAGAACATCCAGCCGGTTCTTCACCATGAGGGCCGAACGCACCGTGATCACCTTCCTGGCACTGCCCTCCATGGTGATAGCAAAAACCACCCTGACAGGAGGCAGGGCAGAGAACTGACGCCCACAGAGAAGGACAAGAGTTATTATTGGATCACAACCTGATGCCGTGGAAATACAAATCAAACTCATTCAGAGGTTCCTGATTTTCCTCTCTGACAGCTGCTATATATATATATATAGTGGATAATTGGGAATAATAGTAATTATCCACCACAGCCAGATGGAAG